TTTAGGAGTCATTTGTAGCTTGAATTTAAAGCCAATGAACTAAAGTTGCTTTAGTATATTTTATACAGTTATAAATTAAAATCTGACAATTGAGAAGGAACATCCAGAGCTGACAGGGGAGTGGTGTGTCCTAGAAATCAAAAGAATAGAGTTATTGAAAATAGTTATTAAGAGGTAAAAGAGGGTGCTGGGAAGGTGGCTCAGTGGTAGAGCACTTGCCTTGCATTCATGAGGCCCTGGGTTCGATTTCTCAGCACCACGTAAGCAAAAAAAAAAAGCTGGAAGTGGCGCTGTGGCTCAAGTAGTAGAGCACTAGCCTTGAGCTGATGAGCTTCAGCCCAGAGTTCAGGCCCCACCAAAAAAAAAAAAAGAGGTAAAGGACAACAAAACTAGGGTGGGGCCTTGGTGGCTTATGCCTATAATCCTAGCTACTCAGGAAACTGAGATCTGAAGATTTAAGCTTGAAACCAGCCTGGGCAGGAAACTCTGGGAGACTTTTATCTCCAATTAAACACCAGAAAACCACAAGTTCAGCTATGGCATAAAGTGGTAAAGTACTAGCCTTAAGCTTACAAAATTTAGGGATAGCGCGTAGGTCCTGAGTTCAAACTCTTGAATGGGGGTGGAGGGGGAAGGGCAAGACTAAAAGTGGCCATCAGTTTTAAAGGTCTCCTATGTTTTTTATTTTCCTGGTCCTGGGGCTTGAACTTAGGACCTGGGTACTGTTCCTGTGTCTCTTTCTGCTCAGGACTAGTGCTCTACCACTTGAGCCATAGCACCACTTTGCGCTTTTTGTGAGTAGTTTATTGGAGGTAAGTGTCTCTTGGACTTTCCTCCCTGGGCTAGCTTCAAATCACAATCCTCAGATCTCAGCTTCAGCTAGGATTATAGGTCTGGGCCACCAGTGCCTGGCTCCTATAAACTTGACAAGAGCAGTTTCAAGGATTTGGTGCTGGGAATGAAAGTACGACCAGAGTAGCTGAAGGAGAGAATACAACTTAAGGATACTTAAAAAGTATCTATATAAGGCTCTTGACAACTTTAGCTGTGAAAACAAGCAAGGAATTAGATGGCAGCTGGAAAGTTTCATTACATTTTTAAGATTGGGTAAAGTAAAGCACTGTATCAAAATTTAAGATGAGAGACATTTTTATGTCCATTCACAGATGAAAATAGTTTAGAAAGATAAAGAAACTGGCATAGCTTGCTTAGTATCACAGGCTTGACAGTGACAGAATGTATGTTTAAATATAGGTCTGACTCTAAAGCTTATGATTTTCCTACATTTCCCTGTTGTCTGTGATTTGTAAGATAAAAATAAAAGATAAAATAAGTCCTGTTTTCTAGTAAAATTATATTTAAAAATTGCATTAATATCTTCACATATTGATAGTATGAAAGAACAGAGTAAAAACCAGCAGCTTGTAACACACGGTTTTCCTTTGTCCCAGGAACTATGGAACTGTTTTGCCACAATAAGATGATGCATAATAACTCACTCTGTGGTCCAGAGTGGAATTATGACTGCTCTATGAATGTGTTTACCTACCTTGCTTTCTTTGAAGTCAAAGCTTTATTTTCATTCAGTTTTCTTCCGCCACTTTCTGTATCAAATATACATTTTAGTGAGCAATTTCTACTTATTTAACAAAAAAGCCCTACTATCTAGCAATTAGTTGCCAAGTTTACTCTTTGACTTCCCCCAAACAGTAATCTGTATCTAAAAGTTTTTAATTCTCCTTTAACAGTCATATTGTTAAGACACTTAAAAAAGAAAGTAATTATTAGAGAAACAATAATTCTTTTAATAAAATGTAACCACCGTGTCTCAGATTCAAAGCAGTATTTTAGCTGTGGGCTTAAAATTTTCCTATTTACTATAAAATCTAAAAGTTACTACTTTGGTGTCATAGTCCTTGAATACAGTAACAGTATTTCTTATGCTTTGGGTTGGTTTCTAACCCCTCCCCCCCAACTTTGCCCTCCATCATGGGATTTGAAATCAGGGCCTTGTACTTGCTAGGCAGGCAATCTACCACTAGAGCCATACTCCCAGCCAAAATGACAACATTTTTTAAAAATCTCCACCCCCCCACCCTGCTTTTTTCTTCCTTGAGGCAGGGTCTCAGGCTGGTCTTGTACTTGCCTTCATTTCAGGCATGTGCCACCGTGCCTTGCTTTTCCTTCCCTTTGGAAAACCATACATCACTGTATATATTTAGTGATAATGCAGGAGGAAATAGTTTAAATTTGTCAAGAATACAAAACTCAGATGAAGAGAGAGAAAACCAAATACAGACTTCCCTAAGCTCAATAAAATCAAATACTGAGATATAGTCTTCCCTTGAAAATCATTGAACAATTCTGCTATTTCCTGACTATTACACTGGGATACTATACATCTACTTCAGAACATTAAGTAGAATACATTAAATCATTGGGAATCCAGGACTCTTTAAAAGAGTTTATAGGATGAAGTAAATTTCACACATTATGAAATTTCATTATACAAATAATACTAAAGCTAAAATACATTCATAAGAAGCATTTCATTCAGTTTCTATTTTCTAAAAAAAGAAAGTACCTGTGGTATTCCTTGCACCATCCTTCCAGGTATCAGGAGTGATGACAGTACCAAGTTTCTTTTCACCTGTTATAATAAGATAAAGGGATGTAGAATTCACTGTCTAGTAAACATACAACATGGCTGTGGTTCACAATGGCATCTCCAGTCATATTATGGTAGGAGACTGCTAATGCTGCAGCAGATGACAACAAACTGAGATTCAAGATATTAACAATGGATATTAGCAAAGATCCTAAGTAAAACTTGTAGGATAAAAAGATGGTTTAAAAAAAATAAAAAGATGGTTTATAATAGGTTCTCATTGTTTATGAATTAAATCTGATGTCTATTCATTCCATAAGTACTAATCATCTAGTGTATATAAACCACTATACTAAGTGCTGAGAAAATAAGATCATCAGCATGTTAATGCTCTAGTTCATGAGCTCATACCTAAATATACTCGGTTTGCTAAATGCAGCCCTTAAGAGATATGAACAAAGTAGACTTGTCCACAAGTTTCACTAGCTTTCATTAGATTCCCAAGAAACTTAACTCTTCAGCCAAAATATAAGCTAGAAAATGAAAAGCACAATAGTTGTGGGAAATTCCCTGCAGAAAGAAATAACCCTGGATAGGGGAACCCAGAAAGTTCTTTGGAGAAGATAATAGAAAAGATTTAAATATGTGGCAATGGTTCTGAAAAGAAAGAGGATGAAGAAAGAAGATGAAATCAAATTAGATAAAGGACACATCCTGAGGAAAGGCACAACAAGTTTAGGGTACACATAGGCATACAAAACAGTTTGGCTCAGGTATGAAGAGGGTTAGGCTCAGGGAAGATGAGGTTGGAAAGATAAGACGGGCTTATTGTGCAAAGTCCAGAGTGACAGCCTCCAAATTGCCAGGATTCTTTCTTCCTAAGTAGTAAAAACATCAGGCTGTAGATGTAGATTAGACACTCACTGGAGTTAGATGTGTTACTTAAAGCCAAACTCTTCTTAGAGTCAACTGGAGTTGGGAATAAAAACCAGAAGAAAGGTCTGAGGGGGGCGGGAAGAACATAAACCAAATGAGTCATATTCATTATACAGTAACTAGGATGATAACAGAAGTGGACCCTTTATCACAGAAGAGCCAGATATATTTAGCCTGAAGAAGAGAGACTAGGGGATGAAAACTATTTATAAACATATAAATAGCTTGTGAGTTAAAAAAATCAATTATTTTCTAGTAATCTCAAGAGCTTGTGAGAGAAATACTTTTCTAAAACCAGGGATTCCTTAAAATAGACTTCTTTAAAGCTAGTGACTTTCCTGTCCCTCTGACCCAATGCTGTTGGTATTCATGAAAAGGGATAGGATAGGATGATGACTTAAGAGTTACCAGATAAAATGCAGGACACCCAGCTCAATTTAAATTTCAGATAACCAGTGCATTTTTAGTAAAACAATAAGTACAGCATGAGAAAAGCCATTTACCGTAGTAATGAACTGTAGACTCAAATATGGCACGGAATAGACTTATGGTATTAAAAAGTAAATATTCATTGATTGGAATAAAATTCAACTGAGAGTCCGGGATGTTTACTGGCTGCATATGGAAACTCTAGATGCTGCCTAAGTGATTTGAAAATTTACTTTATGCCTGAGGGAGCCTGTCAAGAGGCTCCCTCTTAGCCGAGTGCTGGTGGTTCACGCCTGCAATCCTAACTACTCAAGAGAGCTGAGATCTGAGGATCCTGGTTCGAGGCTAGCCCAGGCAGGAAAGCCCAGGAGACTTTTACCTCCAATTTCCCACTGAAAAGCTGGAAGCGGAGCTGCGGCTCAAGTGGTAGAGTGCTAGCCTACCGCACAAAAGCTCAGGAATCGCGCCCGGGCCCGGAGTTCACGCTCCAGCACCAGCACCAAAATAAAAGCTGGAACTGGCGAGACCCTGGGTAGAGCGAGACAGTGGAAATACGGAGGTGTAGAACTGAAACTTCTGAATAGAAAACACAGGACTACAGGGCCCAGGGGAAGGGCAAGGACAGCCACAGGGCGAGGGGGGGACTCGGAAACCTGTGAGAGCAAGAACCACGACGAGGGCGCAGGTTTCCAGAAGCGTCCTAGCGACCTCCTCCCAGCCCAGTCCTCCCACAGAAACGCCCCTTCACTCACATTTTTCGCACACCATGCTTCCGCCCACAGTCTCCCCCTCAGAAACAGAAGCAGCAGCAGCTTGAAAACATCAACACTACAGCCAGAGAACAGTTCCTCTTCCGGCTACGTCAATCCACTTCCGGCCTCAGCCACCCGCTCCCGCCAATCCTATACCTACAAAGTCGCGGGAGGACTAGAGCTGGTGGGCGGGTCTCTGCCCCGGAGGTTTGCGCCTGCGCAAGTCTCCAAGTCTCGGGCAGCCGGTCGCACCTGATGCCGTAGGTTTTCTTCTCTCCCGCAGGCGGGAGACGTTGGTGATAGCTGCTCCACTCTCTGCGCATGATCACCACCGCGGGTGCACCCCGCGCCGGTGGCTGTGGCAGACGCCGCGATCCTTCGCGCCCCGCTCTAGCGTCCCCCTTCCGGTTGAGCGCGAGCTGCCAGGCAGAACGAGCCCTTTTCCGATCCGAGTACTGGTCGAGTCTCTCAGTCCCCGCGTCCCCGCACCTGTGCCCTTTGATGACGTCCCTCATCCGGCTCCTCGCGGACCGCACGCGGCTGGCTGGGACAGGATCCGGGTCCCGCGCGGCCGGGGGGCGGGGCTGAGCCGCGGTCGCTGGCCGGCGTCCACAGGTGGACAGCTTGGAGGACCCCAAAGGCCTTGCCTGTCACGGCGCCTACCCTGGCCAGGTTAGAACGCGACGCCCCGTCGGCGGCCTCGCGATGACGGGCGCGCTCCGGGAAGCTCGGGGACCGCCGTGGGCGGGGGTCCGCGGAAGGGCGTGCCCCTCACCTGCTTCATTCTGGGAGAATCAGGGTCCGGGTACCGCTCGCTGAGGGAGGTTCGTGTACGCCAATGGCAGCTGGGATTCTGAGAGTAGCCCAAGTAGGGGGTTTCTCCTGAAAGGATGGATTCCCGATCGCCCTGCCTGACCCACAATGGTGGGGGGTAAAACCTACGAGGCTTCCTTCGTCACCTCTTTCTCTCGATTCTTTCCCCAACCCTTTGGGTGTTATCTTCGTATTAAAGAGACAAGGCTTGGAAGTGATTTACAGTGTGCTTCCTTGTGCTAACCTGTTCATCCTGTTTCCTAGTCAGTAAAATATTTGCCTTTGACAAATAATTATTTAGTGAGTTTAATGAGGGCTATTAGGACCATGCCCAGATTTGCCCATAGTAGCACGTGCGTAAGCTACTATGCGAAATCTGCCATGTTTCCATTTTAGGGGATCTTCACCACAGTGTAACATAGACTAAGCTCCTCAGTTAATATTCAATACTAGGTAATCTAAATATGTGTGTTCAGAGGTAGTAAACCCCCTCCCCCTCCACTCATTCTGCTTTTGATTACAGTTTAGCACCTGCTAGATTGTAAGACTGCCAGAAAACCACGCAGACATCCAGGTACAGAGAACAAAGAAAGGTTTATTGTGGGAAAGGGACCGACCAAGACCCCTTCTCACAAGGGAGAAGTGAGAAGAAGCACTGGCTATTGTCTGAAATGACCCATATAACCTAGAAGGTTTAGGAGGGCCTAGAAAGGGCTAGAAGGCGGAGACTCTGGTGTGGACCTGTGGATATGAGAGCCAGGGCTTCATCAGGATTTATGGCTGTTGTCCAAATAATAGATAAGGGGTCCTGCAACTGCCCAGACCTGAAGGTCACTCTTGAGGGGCTCTTGTTGCCTTATATGGTGGTAGCTGCCCCAGAGAAGTGCCATCCCAAGGTAAAGGGGGTTGGAAGTTGATTGTTTATTACCTTTACTACATGGGCCTAGTGTTGCTTAGGAAGGGAGCATGCTAAGCTGTGGAGAAGAGAAGGAGTATACTAAGCTATGGGAAGGGAGCTAATTTCACTAACAGCACCTGTTACTGTGGTCGTCATTTTGATATGTCTGGAACATTGTGAACACAATTTAGCATAATGCTTATCTAACTATTGCCCGAGCCAACATTTGAGTAGTTAAGTGTGTACTTGGTGATACTTGGCGTTTGCTAGAGGAGGTGAAGAACTGTGATATGGGACCAGAGTTAAAAATCAGAATTTTTTAACTTAGCCAAGATATATCCATGGGTTATATTAACAACTGGGAAGATCACTCAGTCCATGCAATTGATTTTATCTTCATGATTTTTGGAAAAGAAGTGAAATGAATTTCTTAATCCTAAAACATGATCCTTTGCAGAAACTGTGACAAATACTTAAGAATCCAGTAAAATTGCCCTTTTTAGTCTCTGAGATATATTTGCACCATTTTAGATCTAAAATAACACAGAATGTTGTTTCCATGTGCATTTACACAGATGCATCTTCCTCTAACAGATAACATTGCTTTGAAAATGATCTGTTGACTGTAGAAACTGACTTCATGGCTTAGTTTTAGAAGCATTTAAGACAATGGGAAAATTATTGTTACATGTTTTTCTTAATTTTTTTTCATTAGATAACTATCCAAGAAAGCATCATGAAAGATAGTGATATCAAGAAGCTATTTTATATGCATCTTTTGTGCATATTTTCCATTATCCTAAGCACCTTCATTCCATCATTCTTCTTGGAGAACTTTTCAGTATTAGAAACTCACTTGCTGTGGTTGTGCATATGCTCTGTTTCTGTAACTGCCATCAATCTCCTATTATACTTCGTTGTGAAACCAAATGTATCCTCTAAAAGAAGTTCACTGTCATATAAGGTAAGATTTACTACTTGATAACCAATTTTTGGATTTTTTTTTCTTTTCTTTTTTTTTTTTGTTTGTCATGGGGCTTGAACTCTGAGACTATCCCTCAGCTCTTCAACTCAAGGCTAGTGCTCTACCACTTGAGCCACAGTGCCACTTCCTTTGGACATTTTTTGTAATGTAAGGATATTAGTCTTCATTGAGTTATATATAGAGGGTAAAGGAGCCTGGTGTGTGTGTGTGTGTGTGTGTGTGTGTGCTTGAACTCAGGGCCTATATGATGTTTTCTCCCATGGCTGCACGCTACCACTTGAGCCACACTTCCACTTCCAACTTTTGGGTGGTTAATTGGAGGTAAAAGTGAATATCATTGATTTTCATACCCTGGTTGGCTTTGTACCTTGATCCTCAGATCTCAGCCTCCCCAGTAGTTAGGATTACGTGAATAAGCAAATATGGCACCTACTACTTGTTGCCCACAGTGTTTGATAGATCCTTAACATGCATTGATTGTGGAATTATGACTTCTTCAATGGTCATAATACATACATTCTGAGTCTGTATAATATTGTTTTATTTATAGATGATAAATACATGTTACTATCTTTCAATCTTACTTTGTAAGATACTGCAGTTTTCACTTATTTTTATACTTTTTAAAGATAGTGGGTTTTTCTTTTCCTTTTTTTTTTTCCAAAATAAGAAATTCCAAAATAAGTCATTGTAGTAACTTATTTCCAACATGCCTTTCATGACTAAATGGTTGAGCTTTTCAGATATTAGAATTAATTTTCTGGAATATTCACTGCACTATAACAATTTACTATTATTTTAATAAAAGCCTCACGTAACCTTGATTATTATATATCAGTTCGCTATTACACAATTTAAAACAACTTTACTCCCTTATTTTAAAAGCTTATTGTGTGTTTCTTTCATTAATTATGTTTCAAACCAAGCATTTCCCCCCACCTGGAGGACTTGTAGAAGTCATACTGTAATATGAATATGATGTGGGAAATTTTGCAATTTTCCCAGGCGTTCTAAAATGAAAACAATTTTTATATTGTAATTAGTATTTTCTACAGATATTTCGCTATCTTTTGTGTGTGTGTGTGTGTGTGTGTGTGTGTGTGTGTGCATGCATGTGTGGCTTAGCTCTAGTTATCAATCACTAGTTATCAGTTTCATGAGTTTCGGTTAGCACGTAACTCAATACATAGCATAGAAATGGAAACGCTTTTTGACTCACATTGGCTGAATGGTAAAATATGGATGTATGTGTGATACTTGCCTTGTAAGCATTTTTACAGTCTATGTTAAGGGCTGTGTGTGAACCTGAGGACAGACTTGCGATCTGACTTGAGAATGCCCAGCAAAGAACATGGAAGTGTTTCACATGTTATGGGAACAGGTTGTATTTGTAGATAAAATCTAAGGATTTATGGTTATATCAGCATGTTCTCAAATTTTCATTTTATTGATTTCTCTTTTAGGTAGCCAGATTTTTGAAATGCTGTATCTACTTTTTAATATCTTGTCTCTTCCTTCATGTGATTTTTGTTTTATATGGAGCGCCACTGTTAGAGTAAGTTTGAAATTTTTACTTTAGATTCATATTTTAAAACATTCATTTACTAAATAAAATGTGGGCAAACCCTGTTGACAAGTAGAGAAAAACCATAGTGTGTTCAGTTAATGCATCAAGGTAGGATAACATCAGTATCCCCTTTTTAGCACAGTGATTGTTTTTTGAAAACAGTAGGATAACTTCAAATTCATTAACTGCATATTTATTAGTGTAGTTTCATATGTTTATGCCTTTAGAAACCTCTAAGGGAACTCACTATCATCTGTATGAGTTACTTATAACTAGCATACTAAGGCCTACTAAATGTGATTCTAAAGTACTTGAAAGAATTTGTTTTCCTAAGGAAAGTCAATAGCATTATTCAAATAGTTAACAAACTCATGTTTGTAAGTAAAATTTAATACAGCACTTTTTCAAAATTGGCCAATTTCAAATTAGTGGGAACAAAATCCACAAATAATTCTTCTATAATATTTACTGTAATTTGGAAAGCTTCTGTTTAGCATTAAAGAATGATCATGATGAAGTGAACGTGTAGTGTGCACACACACACACAAACATGCGCACAGCTATGTGTACAGTTAGATATATTTGTGTGTAATTGTATCTACACAAATTAAACAGGTTATTCTTTTTCTATTTTTATTTTATTGGTGTTAATACTGGGGCTTGAATTAAGAGCCTTCCACTGTTCCTTATCTTTTTTGCTCAGTTCTAGCTATCACTGAGTCAGAGTTCCATTACTGACTTCTTGCCCCACATGGCTTTGAACTGTGATTCTCAGATCTTAACATCCTGAATAGTAAGGATTACAGGCATGAACTATGGGCAACCTGCTCCAGGTTATTCTTTTGTAAACAGGGGAAGGCAAGAACTTTGCCATGGAAAATGATAGATTTTGTCTAATCCATCTTCGAATGAATGAGTGGAACAATAATTCCCCAGATATGGTCTTTGAGCTAGCAACATGAACATTTTATCAAAATGCAAATTCTTGGGCATCAATCAGAAACTCTAGAAAAGAGCTCCCCAACTTTTTAGTTTAAGCTGTCCAGGTAATTCCCAAATAAAGTCGAACCATTGATTGCAGAGAAAGTTCTAGGGACTATTAGACAAGATAGTTAATTATCTAGAATCGAGATTTCTTGAAACAGGCAATTCAGTTTGCATCTTAGAGATTTTTGTGTTTTTGAGATCTATTATTAAAACTAGATATTTGCTAGCTAGCTTTTTTGGTGGGGAGGGGAGAGGTTGTTCCCTGAGCCTCTCTGTACTCAAGGCTAGCACTCTACCACTTGCTTTTTCTATTTATGTGGTACTGAGGGATCAAACCCATGGCTTCATGCATGGTAGGCAAGCACTTTACCACTAAGCTACATTCCATTCCCATCCCTGCTAGCTAGTTTTTTAAAGTTGTATTTTGGTAATAAGAATTTATAGTCATCATTTTGGTGGGATTCCTATAACCTTTTAAAGTATAAGAATATTTTTATGCTATATGTATTTGGGTAACAAAGATTATGTATGTGTGTATATTTATGTACATTTAACACTTGTGTTTTTCGCCCCCTAGGCTGGTGTTGGAAACATTTTCATTTGCAGTTATTTTGTCTACTTTTACTGTTGTACCTTGTTTATGTTTACTAGGACCAAACCTCAAAGCATGGCTAAGAGTCTTCAGTAAAAATGGGTAAGTTTCAGTATTAGTAATGTTCGTAATTAAAAAGCAGTGATTTTTAGCATTGTATAGTTTTCAGAGATGCCAGTACAGTTGGAGAATAGAGACTGGAACAAATGGTTTGTTTTCTGCAGGCAGAACTGCAGCTCTTCTCTTTATGTTAAAACACATTGAAAATAGTAGTATAGCATATTGCTTAAATTAATTAAATGAATAATTAAATTAAATATTACTTCTTTGAAACATACTGGGTACTTTGGCACTATGATAAAATACTACAAATAAAATTATTTTACATATATTTTCCAATAGGTAGAAATGGGAAACATAATCTTGAAATGTTTCATGTAACAGTAACGTTTTCTTTAGCCTTTGGTAAGATACCAGAGTACCAATTTACAGGATATATATTTTCATCATAGCTAAGTTAAAATTTTAACTTCTTCAAAAGCATTGAAATGATACATACTAGAAATGGTTGAGTCCTAACTAAGAAAGCCAGAAGATTATTTGGTTCCCATAATTTTGTCCTTCTAATCAGCCAGAAGCAAAAACTTTTTGGGCATATACTGTGTGTTCTATATTGTGCTAAGTTCTATGTGGCTTCTAAAGTACTAGGAAAAATCCCTCCTTCAGCCACCAGGTATTTGCCTGCTCTAGGAATAAGAATGGACCAAGCCAATGGTGCATAATAGAACAGTTACTGGCATAGGAACAGAGGAGAAGGGAAACCAGTGGCTGGGAAGGGGAATGAACTCTTGACCTTGAATCAGGATGTGGTGAGACCAAGAAGAAAGGGAAACATACCAAGTGCTACTATGTTGAAAATGAATTATTACAACTTGTGGTTGGGAATGGGAAGGAAAAACAGAGAGACAGTAAGGGAAGGAATGACATTGTCCAAAAGAAATGTACTCATTACTTAATTTATGTGACTGTATCCCCTCTTTACAGCACCTTTATAATGACAATAAAATCTATTTAAAAAGCATAGAAATGGAAATTAACTTGGTATTTTTATCTAATTTGAAAGTTTAAATCCAAGGAGAGCAGAGGATATATGCTGCATAACTTGACTCCATGAATGACTGACTGCTCCCCTGGCAATTAGTACTGTTCATTCTTTTTAGAACCATTCATAAAGTCTTCAGGAAACAAAAGTGTAACAACTAAAATTTAATTTTTTTTTTTGCCAGTACTGGTGTTGTGAACTCAGCCTGGGTCTTGTCCCTTAGTATCAGTACTCTTACCTTTTGATGTATTGCTTGCCAGTGCTCTACCTTTTAAGCCACAGCTTCACTTTCAGCTTTTTTTTTTTTTTTTATCATCAACTGCAGGTAAGAGTCTCATGGACTTTCTTGTTCAGGCTGGATTAGAACTGAGATCCTCATCTCTCAGCCTCCTGAGTAGCTTGGATTATAGATTTGAGCCACTAGTGCCCAGCCATTAAAATCTTTTCCCACGTTGAATGATTGAATAGTGTTGGCACTCTTGTCCAGAATCAACTAATCATAAACACATGGTATTTGTTTGTTATTTTTTTATTTTTCCTATTGGTCATGGGGCTTGAACTCTGGGACTGGGCACTATTCCTCAGCTCTTCAGCTCAAGGCTAGCGTTCTACCACTTGAGCCACAGTGCCACTTCCGGTTTTGTAGTAGTTTATTGGAGATAAGAATCTTATGGACTGTCTTGCCCAGGCTGGCTTTGAACCACGATCCTCAGATCTCAGCCACCTGAGTAGCTAGGATTATAGGCCTGAGCCACTGGTGCTCAACTTTATTATTTTGAGACAAGGTCTCACTATGTAGGCTGCCTAGAGTTCTCAGTCTTCCTCCTACCTCAGCTTCCTGAATTCTGGAATTAGAGGCATGTACCTTTATTACAAAAGAATTTGGCTAGTGGTGGCTCACATCTGTAATCCTAGCTACTCAGGAAGCTGATATCATCTGGAGGATCACAGTTTGAATCTAGCTCAGACAGAAAAATTAACTAGCAAAAAAGCTGAGCTAGAAGCATGGTTCAAATGGTAGAGCACCAGCCAAGCAAGCTCTAGGCTATGAGTTCAAACTCTAGTATGGGCAAAACAAAATAAAATTAGGTACTATAAAGTAACTCAAAGACAAAAAAGTCATTTTGTTTCTTAAAATATTCGGCTAAATTCTTATTGATACACATTAATATTGTGTATCAATATTAATAATAATCGACTTACTGTATTATCTTTATGTAATTCATAATGTATTTAGCTAACAATTGAATTGAACGTTAGTGAATATTTATAATTTAAGTCAATTTATTGTCTAACATTGTAATTGTTATGTTTTGTTTTCATTTGTAGGCTTTTTTTTTTGTTTATTTCTGCCAGTCCTGGTACTTGAACTCAGGGCCTGGGCACTGTCCCTGAGCTTCTTTTGCTCAGGGCTAGCAACTCTACTATGTGAGCTACAGCACAACTTCTGGCTTTTTCTGTGTGTGTGGTAGTGAGGAATCAAATCCAAAGCTTCATGCATGATAGGCAGGCACTCTACCACTATGCCACATTTCCAGTGGCTTTTTGTAAAGGAGAGTAGTAATCATTTGTAAACCTGTTTTTCATTGATGTTTGATTTTTGATTTATCTGTTCTTTGTGCTGTTATTTGAAGGCGTAAGTTAGAATCTGATGACTTTGCTTAGCTAAATAGGTTCTTGAATAGGATGAAACGTATCTGAGGTGATCTTACCAAGGTGAAAATACTCAATGCAAGTTAATCTAATATACAAAACCATAGAGCTTTTTGTCATTTTTGTATTAAAATACATTTTATATTGAGAGAACCATTGTGGACATTAAGAATAAAAAGTTAGGCTTGGCACCAGTAACACACACCTGTAATCCTAGCTACTCATAGGACAAGTTTGGAGGATGATGGTTAACCTAGGTTGAAAAGTGTGTTAGACTCCATCTCTGAAATAACTAGCAAAAAGCAAGGCTGCAGACCTGGCTAAAATGGTAAAGTGTCAACTAGGCAAGAAGAGAGACAATTTATTTATATAAAGAATAGATTATTAGCCGGGCGCTGGTGGTTCACACCTGTAATCCTAGCTACCCAGGAGGCTGAGATCTGAGGATCACGGTTCAAAGCCAGCCCGGGCAGGAAAGTCCGTGAGACTCTTATCTCCAATAAACCACTAGAAAACCGGAAGAGGCACTGTGGCTCAAGTGGTAGAGCGCTAGCCTTGAGCTGAAGAGCACAGGGACAGCGCCCAAGCCCAGAGTTCAAGCCCCATGACTGACAAAAAAAAAAAAGAGAATAGATTATTTAGTCTGAATGTGGGCTCAAAAATCTAGTGACAGAGAAGAAATGATTTTAATAATCATTGATGGAGAAGGAAAAAATTTATATTGCTATGTTGTAAAATATTTTTAGCCACTAGGAGGAGTGGTACAGAGTCTCGTAGATGAAGAGATGCATAGTTTCAAAGCTTAAATCCATTTGAACATTGTTTTGTGGGATCCTATCCAAGCAATAGGTGTTTCTAGAATATAGGAGGCAAATATTTGGTATAATGAATTCCAGTTGTGATAAATAATTTGAACACGTATTTGAACTTTATTGTCACAAAGAGTGGTCTATAATATTAATTTAGTCCCTTTTCAAGTTTATTTGCATTAGAACAGCAAACCATTCTGTTCTCAACCATATTGATTATGTGTGTCTGCTCAATAATTATGACAAAGTTATCCAACAAGATCAAATTGAGATGTCTTTGGAAACATAAAATGAGAATAAACCAGTATCCATGCTACAAGGAATTAGTTGAAAGTAATTTACGTGACTCATTTCTTTTTATATTGATTTTTTTGTTTCAAAAGAATGTATGAATGCAAATACTAATATTTTTAATATTTTAATATATTATATTTAATATACATATAGTAAACATGAATTATGTATTTATTGCAGTACTGAGAATTGAAGTTAGGGCCACTTGAAATAAGCCTCACATCAAAATATATACATTTTTAGGCAGACACCAGTGACTTATACCTATAATCCTAACTATTTGAAGACTCAAGGCAGGAAGATTGTGGTTAGAGGACAGTCTAGGCAAAAAAAATCCACAAACACCCCTTCTCAACCGGTAGTTGAGAGTGATGGTGCCTACCTATCTTCCCAGCTACAATGGGGAGCTTAAAATAGTTCTTTGGTTATAAGTGCCGACCTGGGCAGGAAGTGAGATGCGACCTTTCACAAAAACAACTAGTGTAGCCCGGTGCCAGTGGCTCACACCTATAATTCTAGCAACTCAGGAGGCTGAGATCGGAGGATCGTGGTTTGAAGTCTACCAGGGCAGGAAGTCCGTGAAACTTATTTCCAACTAATTACAGAAAAAGCTAGAAGTGGTACTGTGGCTCAAGTAGTAGAGTACTATCCTTGAGCAAAAAGGAGCTCAGGAACAGTGTCCTGGTCCAGAATTGAAGTCCCAGGACCTGCAAAAAATAAAATAACCAATGCAAAAAAAGTGGACGCACCTGGGTATTGGCAGCTTATGTCTAATCCTAGCTACTCAGGAGGCTGAGATACAAGGATCGAAACCCACCATGGGTAGGAAAGTTTGAGACTTATTGCCAATTGGTGGTTAATTGGCAGTAACCTTCCAGAAGTAGAAGTGTGGCTCAGGTGATAGAGCCTTAGGCAAAAGAGCTAAAGAACAGTGACCAGGCCCTGAGTTCAAGCTCCAGTACTAGCACATTAAAAATAAAAGGTGGTGCTTCTGGTGATGGAAGCATGGCTCGGTGGTAGATCCTGTCTGGCAACTGTAAGGCCCCGTGTGGAGCCCCAGTACCACCAAACAATACAAATAGATAGATAAAAATATGAATTTTAATAGTAAACATACATTTCAAATTCAATTACAGTAAAATATAGGAAGTTAAAGATCTAATAATGCAATAATTAGTCATGTATTTAATAGTAATTTAGTTTTATATATTCTAATTTGTCTACTTCTAATTCTGTCTATAATTATTGTAATTTTGCATATAATATATAAGTGATTTTAAAACAAAAGGGTTAAATGAATCCTGATGCATAACTTGCTTTCTTACACTGACATGTCTCTGTGTATGTGTGTGTAATCTAGCTCTTCTTACATAGTATCAGTAGTATTATGTGTGTTTTATTTGTACAAATTGTGATTCAAGTTTTATAACTGTAATTGTTCTTTCATAATGTTTGACTCTCAGTACATTGTTATAGTACTTTTCCATTGGAAATACATTTATGCCTTGACAGTTATTAAGGATTCACAATGAATCTCTAAATGTTAAATTTAGCTTTTTTCTTGTTTTTTGTTTTTTTGTTCGGTCATATGGCTTGAACTCTGGGCCTGAGTGCTGTCCCTCAACTCTTCAGGTCAAGACAAGTGCTCTACCACTTGAGCCACAGAGCCACTTCCAGTTTTCTGGTGGTTTATTGGAGATAATAGTTTCAGGGGCTTTCCTGCCCTGGCTGGCTTTGAACTGTGATCCTCAGATTTCAGCCTCCTGAGTAGCTAGGATTACAGGCATTTGCCACCAGTGCCTGGCTAGTTGTTCATTTTTAATGAACAGAAAGCGTATGTATAGTGTTAATTTGTGCTACTGTTTATTTGCCTCTCTAGCTAAATACAGTACCCCAGTGATTTTCATGTTTGTGTTTTACAGCGTTAATTCCATTTGGGAGAACAGTCTCCAGATCACTACTATTTCTAGTTTTGTAGGAGCATGGCTCGGAGCATTTCCTATTCCACTGGATTGGGAAAGACCATGGCAGGTTGGTTTCAGTTACTTTAAACAACAAAATACATCTTGCATAGTGATAAGTTGATGAAACAAACTAGTACATATATGAAAATTGTTTTGTTGTTCAGTTAAGGGAAGATACTAGTTTCTCTGTCAGTGCTTCTTGGGACCTACATCAGTGCCATAGATATCTTGCCAGCACTTGGCTCTGTCTTGCAGCACTATTTTGTCTACATGTATGCGTGAATAATAATGTTTACATATATGAATGCATATAGGCATCTTTGGTTGTTTTTAAACAATTAGGGTAGCAGTTGCAGAAATTCCCTCTTTACAATTTTTATACTTCTTTCAGGTCTTAGGTCATATTTTCTTTTTTTAAAATTATTGTAAAGGTAATGGATGGGGGTTACAGTTACATAAGTAAGGTAATGAGTACATTTCTTTTTAAACACTGTTACCCTCTCTCTCATTTTCTCCTCCTTCTCCCTTTATGCTCCCCTCTCTCCCAAGTTGTAAAGTCCATTTCCAACATAGTATCTAGTTAGTATCATTGTTGCATTAGTTCAACTTTTGTCTTGCTGTTTCTGTGATTCCCTTTCCCTTCCGCAGATCAGATAAGCTTCTATCTAAGACAAAGGGTACAGAAAACTAAAACAAATAAGAATAACTGCATACAAGGCATAATAAGAAACTTTTGTTTCCAATTCTTGGAGTTCATTTTGATACACTTCATTATATATATTTTCTTATCTCAGTGGCCAAATGTTGATCTTGAATATTCTTTAAAAATCATTTGGCAAGATAATTTTTTATCAGAGGAAGCTTACAAACACCAGATTTTTCATTTTCAATCACAGTCAGGTATGAAGCCAGTGTGCTGGATAGAGTATTATCAGGAAAGTGCTCTTTTCATTTTCATGTGACAGATGATTTCCAAGGTCACTGAGCTAGTAGGTAGTAGATACATTTTTATCTTAATTTATAATGGCTTTGTTATTTGCTATTATTTAGTTACTTTAGGAGGTATAGTCATTTGGTTAATTGACAGTATTTTACCAAAAAAGGCACTGCTGTTATAAAAAACCTTTGTACCTACAGCATCATTAGTTTTTCTAACTATTTTCTTAGGATAATTTCTCCCAAATACAATTTTTGACTTTAAAAACTAAATGTACTCCTTTTCCAACAGGAAGATAATTTTTTCTGATCACAAAATTTAAGCAGTATAAAGAAGAAAGTTAAAAAATCTATTTTAAAAAAATGTACCTAGGGCTGGAAAGGTGGCTCAGTGGTAAAGCGCTTGCCTTGCATGCATGAGGCCCTGGGTTTGATTCCTCAGCACCACATAAGCAAAAAAGAAAAAAGCCGGAAGTGGTGCTGTGGCTCAAGT